AAGAGAAACAGAGTATATGGATGGATAAGAAGAATGAGATTGGAATTGGATTTGGAACTTACCATTTTAATCATAAGATCTGGTGCTACGCGGGAAGAAGGAAGATCCATTTGCTGAGAGGTTCTCAAGAATAGATGGTCCAACAACTTGATAGCAGGTGGTCTGTCTGCGGGGTCTCGCTGAAAGCAACAGTGTAAAAAATCCTTTCCTTCAGGTGACAATGTTTCAGGAATGGGTGGGGATTCTTTCAAGACCTTGAACATTGCGGCAGCCTACAGCAAAAGATAAAGAAACTTGTAAATAGATGTAGAGTACATGTACATCTTCATGTTCGCATCTCAACCCATAGTATGATCTCGTGACAATCCATTGATATTAATATACTTGCTACAATTTCCCATATTGAGCCCATTGAAGTAAAAATAAAAAAACCCTAGGCTGCTTACCTCCATTATTTCTAACTTTAATAATGTAACACTGTCTCACCCACATCAGTAATTAGCTTCAGCAAAGGATATTAATATCTTAGCAAGAGAGGCACCTAAACCGCACCTTAATCAGAAATAATGAATACAATAAAAAAGGTGAGAAAATTTTAATCATTAAACCTACCCCTTCAAATTCACTCCATGGGGGCTTGCCAGTGAGCATCTCAATGATAGTGCACCCCAAACTCCATATGTCAACGGCAAAAGCCAAATCAGAACTATTTTCGTTCTGTATCACAGATTGCATGAGCTGTAGGGAAAAAAAATGCACGTTAACAACAGCCAATTTAAGGATAATTCTTAAAAGTTTACCTCAACAAAGGAAAACATACCTCTGGAGCCATCCAGTACGGACTCCCCTTTAGCGAAAGAATAGCTGACTGTTCACTAAGCTGACAAGGAAATATAACTCAAATTAGAATGCAGTATAAGCAGTGCATCTAAGATTGGCCCTAATTTAGTTAGCAGTGCATCTTAAAAGTCATGATTTTGATAATGCGAAGTTGACAGGAAAACACTGAAACTTATGGTCATCACCACAAAAGTCAACTAGAGTCACCATAGCAAGATAATTTCCCAAAAACAGAAAAGCATGTAGCTGGAGATTACCAGCTGACTCATACATTAATTGGTGGCTTATATCAAACGGTTCACAAGTTATTGGTTCCTTTAGATCAAAAGTGATGATAACACAGTAATCATAGGTACTAGATGAGAAGACCCATGGAAGCTATCATCCTCCATCCTCCTTTGGACATAGACAAAAGGATGAACACTAAGTTACCTAGTTCCTAACAAACATCCAGTGCTAAGCTGCTGCATATCTATTAACAATAAAATTAGACGCATTACAATATGACATCATGCCCAACATTGCCTTAAAACATCCATAAAAATGGATTTTTTTACACCCTACTCCATCACTCTCCACAAAAGTATGTATCAATGAAGGATCAACATGCAAATGTAAATTTACAAAATCTGAAACTCACAGGTTTTGCCATCCCAAAGTCTGCAAGCTTGACAACTCCAGATGAATCAACAAGTAAGTTTGCCCCTTTGATGTCCCTAAACATTATAAATAAGTAGAGAATTTTAGCTTTTGAAAAAACAAAAAAGAGAAAGATGGACTCTGGAAATTAATAGATGGATAAAAGCCACAGCACTTTCAACCCCCCCTAATTACACCCTTTCATTAAAAAAAAAATGAAAAAAAAGGCAACTTTCCCTATACCATCCCGAAAGTACAAATTGCTATGTACTATCAGCAACTCATAACTGAGGAGTATATATTAACATGATTGGCAGAGAGTTCGTATACATATAGATATAATGATGTTTAGGTGATCTAACAAAAAAGATAAACTATAAAATCATCCATATCGTAATGCCTCCAGATTAATTTCAGTGTTACCTGTGAATTGTCTTCCTGCTGTGCAAGTAAGCCAATCCAGATACTATATGACGAGTGAAATTCCGAACAACTGCTTCTGTGATAGCCCCACAATGCTCACGAATGTATTTATTGATAGAACCAGGATAAACATACTCCAAATATATGTAAAACTTGTCATCCACCTGCATTTCTCATCAAATTCACAAGTAAATGAAGTGTTGATTATTGGAATCACATAGATATAACAGAGAATTATTCATGGTTGGATACACTTACAATCTCACTACCATAGTACTGCACAATATTTGGATGCTTTAGATGGCTCAGGACCTCAATCTCCTGTATCAAGAAATAGAATTAGCACAAAATTATGGAACATTACAAAATAAATTCAACAAATACATCAAAACAAATTGCCCACAATGAACATGCTTCATAGCTCAGAAGACAGGGGGCGGATAGAACATAACTACCCTAATCAGTAATCACGTAAATCATACACTTGCTCAGCTTAGCTTAACCCACCTAGATCTGGTAAAACACACACTAAATGCCAAACTTGAAGATATATAATATACAAAGTATGTAAAATCAGAAAAAGAATCCGCAACATAGGTATTTTATTAATTCATTTATTTTTAACTGTTTCAAGGACAATTAAGACACTATTGCAGGAGCAGGGAAACATTCATGAATGTTGACAGGGAATTGTAATGCCAGAAGTTAAGCTTTGGAAAGTTTAAAGAAATTACTATGGAAAAGAAAAAAAAAAAAAAAAAAGAGGTTAAAAAAATTATATTTGAAACAAATTCCCTATTTAAGACATTGATATACAAAGTAGTTATTATTGCCTTGGAAAAAATTTCAAAGAACTACCTGCTCAAGTTGCCTCATGCACTCAGCAGACCTCTGATCATCAGGAATTAAGTCTACTTCTTTCATGGCACACAAGGCTCCTGTTTCCCTGGACATTCAAAAAAGAAAAATTTAAATAGGCAGAATCAATGGAAACCAATGACTGATGGACCAAGATGAGCACAACTACATACCGGTTTGTTGCAGCGTACACACTTCCAAATGTGCCCCGTCCTATAAGTTTCCCTTTTATCCATTGACTTTTCATGGGCAAGACTTCTGGTCTTGAACTGACTTGAGGAACAGGAGACGCCAGCATTGAGGATGAAGGTGTGGGAGGAAGAGGTAATGGATGGACATTAAAATCATGATGAGGGGAAGATATTTCAACAGATAGTCTGGGGTGCAGGGGTGATGGTGGTCCACTGATGCTGTTTCGGGGTGGTCTGGGGCTCCTTAGTAATGGACTTCTAAATGAAGGACTGTCACGACTAGCCATAGTGCTCTCTGGTAGACCACCATATGGGAAACCAGTTGGCATGGCTGGTTCAGACCAACGTGCGGGTTCCATTGGATACATGAAAAATGGATCTCCATTAAGCATCCTTTGTGGGCTATACATGGGACTAGAACTTGAACTTGGAGGAGCACTCTGAAAGTTGATGTCTATGCTATAGTTCTCTTGAGGTCGATGTGGACTCTGTATCTTTTGGGGGACATTCCATAATGGCCAGGTTTCTGTACGGTGCACACTACTACTTTGAGGATCAGCTAAAGTTTGCACATTAACTCCTTGCCGAGCACTAACCCTTTTTTGAGCATCAACAGCAACTCCCCTCTGATCAATTTGCGATGCTACCTTACTGTTTGAAAATGAAATGCCAAAGCAACAGCAAGTCAGACACACCTATGCTATCACAATAAGCTAATCTTAAACTTTTTGCTAGAAGAATTGACATCTCTAGATTTGATAAAATGAGCTATGTTACTTATTTTCATAAAAATTAAGATACATTAACATTAATCCAACCCAAAAAAAAAAACACATTAAACCAAGTTAGTCATACTTTGGCCTAAATAAACATCAAGTGTTTACAATTCAAATTTTTTTTATCATAAACCAACTTACAAAAGTTCGTAGTGTTATATTGTTACAATTATTAAATGTTTCTTACTTCCATTCATCTTATGCACAATCCTTATTTGGTATATACGAGTTTCAATCTAAAGACTTTACCAACTAACCTAGCTTGGATTCTCACATTCGAGTCTACTTTTTTCGTTGCCCTATATAGGACACACAATAATTACTATTGAAGATATTTCTAGTATCTATCTATAATGCAAACTGAGCATGATAACGAAATACCTTCCTATTGCAGTAAAAAGGCAAAAAGACATTCCATTTTCCAATTTCCATCAACAATTCAACAACCAAAAAAGGCAAAAACAATAAACATTCATCAAATTCAATTAAAAAACAACCTATTTATTATAAAAAGTAAAGAGTAGTGATTATAGTATTATACCAAGCATTGAGCTTATTGTTATTGTCAAACCCTCTTTCTTTCTCTCTAGAAACTTCCGTTGGCGACGGAAGCCGGAAATTCTCACAATCACCACGCTTTGGCTTTGATTTCGATTTTGTTTTGGATTTCGACACCGATTTATCTTCACCAGAGATGATCTCCGGGAGAGGAAGCGGTTGAGGAGGCGGTGAAGAAGCGGTGCGCAATAAATCGTCACCGTGACGGTGACCGTGACCTTTACCGTTACGGTCACCTAAAAAGAAATCCAAATAACTAAGGTCACAGTCACGGAGATGACGGAGCTGCTTAGCTCTGGTTAACCGGCGATTATTTGACGTCGTTGAAGTATTCGAATTCGAAGTTGATGATGAATTTGAAGATGAAAATGACCAGCGTGGCAAATTCATTTAATTACCCTTGTAATTTTATTATCATTGTACACAAAAATCAATCCCACCATTAACAACAACAACAAAAACTAAATTAACATCAAATTATAAACATGAATTTATTGCTGTTTTTTTTTTTACAATAATAATATATATAAAAATGTAGGAAAAATAGAGAAAAAGGAGGAGTATTAGGAGGAAAGAGAGGAAGATTGTGAAGTGGGGGTTGGGGATTTTTTTTGTGAAATCAATTTTCTCTCTCCTCCCTTCCTCGCGATCTTTTGTCTGTTACCTTCCTGGAAGATATCTCTGGTTTTCCAGCAATTTTTTTTATTTAATTTAATTTTTGAATGTATTTTATTTATGGGGTGGTGGGTTAGAATTGAATTGGAAGTTCCGACAAGATGAACAATTCCAGATGGAATGCCAACTGATTTGGGATAAAAGAGTGTATACGTCAACCCAGATCTGCCGTACACTAAAGTACTCTCTGCTTTACTCATCAAACTTTACTCTCTTTTCTCGTATTAATCACTTGAGTATGAGTTGGTGATCCTTCTTTACAATATAATCAATGCCTAATGATTTCCTTTTATCTTTCCTCTCTTTCGGTCCAACCCCTAATTTTCATATTAGAACCTTTCAGTGACAGGAATTTAAATAATGAATAATACATATTTTGCATAAATGACTATATAAGTATTGTATAAGGTGACGGTAAAAAATAATTTTATTAGAAACAGAAAAATGCTTATCTAATGCGCACACGGCTTTTATTAGGTAAAAAATGGAGATTCATGAGTCGAGTGCCAATAAGGCATGAGAGTTGGCCATTCGTTAGTCATTCACTCATTCTTCTGTTGTTTGCACACCAATAATATAATATACCTTAATAATAATAGAATAATTATTTACACCATTAGTATTAAAAATTATCATCCATGTATGCTCAAAGTTGCAAGTGTAAGTCGCAGCTGACTTTGTCAATAAACAAATGATGATATGTATTGTACTATTATGTAGGGTTAATGAATGAAGGGTACATTAAAATATAAGTGTAAAATCAGTTGACAAGGGTAAACAAAAGAGTTTGACTGATTAAGAGAAGAGCGTGTGAAATGACAAGTAGGTTTCCTCCATTTTACGCTTAATTAAGCTTAGTAAACTTTCAATGTAGACCATGGTTTGACTGTGACAATCCTTGATGACAAGTCCGCTGAAGAATGCAACTGAATAGTCTGATTAATAAGTTCGGCAAATACCGCCAATATAAACAACTTTCAACTTTAAACGGTGCAAGAGAAATAGAATTTCAACTTTAAATTAGTGGAATTTTATCATGCATTCTAAACTTAATACTATTTTAAGTAATATGGTACGTCTATATATTACTTAGTTATCTAACGTCCCGGCCTCTTAGGTGCTTATTAGCAAGATCCTTAAAAGAATATAGTGGTATATATTTAATGCATATGTAAAACCTTGATTAATTATAAATAACAAAACGCCTCATAAAATATAGCAATGTACTGATTGGCCTCTAGGAGGCGAGTCTATTGAATTTCATTTTTCAGAAAAATAATTAAGAGTACATTAGTTAAAAACTAAAAAATGATGCTGCAAGCGTGGTCAACAATTTCAAACAATTGTTTAGCACGGCCAACCTTAAAAGTTAATCACAAATACCATTTTTTTTTTTATTTTTTTTTAATACTCCCTGTTTAAATCTACATAAACCATGGGTTTTAGATTGTTTAGCAAGGCCAACCTGTATACCATGTGTTTCATAAATTTTAATACTCTGTTATTGAATCTAAACGGGAAATTATACAGTATGTTAATTTAGTCAAACCAACATAAACATATTTTATCAAAAACAAAAGAAGAATAATCAACATATTTTATCATGAGCCACTTTATAATAAACCCAGGCAATACTATAGACTCTTGACTAGACAATTGCATCTTATACGTTGTAATAAATACAATACTAGTAATATGTACTGAAATAAAAGTAAATAATTCAATAGATAAATACTCCGTAAAAACATACACACTCAACAACATGGAGGGCTAAAACTAAAATCCACAAATGTCCAATTTATACACCTGAAACCCACATGCCCACACCCTACCAAGCAGCAAACCCTCAAAGGGCAAAATAATAAGAAAATTAATTATTATTAGAAGAACAAGCATCTAAGACACAAAATACAAAGGCAATGAATATAATAGAACATGATGTTATACAAGGGGTAAACTTGTCATGGCAGCTTATGGACTCAACATTCACCAATGCAAACACCCCCCCCCCCCTTCTCTCTCTTTTTTTTTTTCTTCTCTTTTTTCCTCCTTCAAATTTTTTAATACACCCTAAATCAGATACTTTTTTTTCATAAATTGAAGCAGTTTTCAATTTTCATCATTGAATTATATGGTCCCTTAAAGAAAAGATAAAAACTAAAAATAAAAAATAAATAAAAACTAAAACGCCTCACTTATAAAATTAAGTTTCTAGAGGTACCGAATTTTCTACTTCTGAAGCCACAATCTTGCAGATAGGTTTTGTATCATTCCCACTTAAAAGCTTCAATGACGAATCAACCTCAATATCTTTCATAAAGACCCGATCTCCAATGTCCAAATTGCTTATGTCCACCTCGATCTTTTGAGGGATGCATTCTGTTGGGCAAAGATACTTTAGGTTCTTCCTTACTGTTTTTAGCTGTCCCCCTGTTTAACACGAGACGTAATAATGTAAGCATCATTTGTGACAAGATAAACAATGAATAAAAGGATACTGGTTCAGTCTGTATCCATACAGAATAATGCTTGAAACAAGGAAGTATGAATGTTTACAAGTTCATCCAATTTAACTTCAAAAGAAAAAACAGGTTGGGTTGTTAACAATCAAAAAGTAAACAAGAGTCACATTTCCAAATCTAAGGTAAATGTTAAATACAACTTTGAATAGCAAAGAAAATTCTAATCCTGAAAAAGTAATACAGTACTTTGTATTAGTCTGTAGTGTAGAAACTTTTCCTTTCAGCTTCAAATGAGATTTGTTCTTCTAAGGGCAGCCCTATATTGAACAGACTGACATACAGAAAAGCTAACCCTCACAAGGGCCCAACCCCCCCCCCCCCCTCTCCCTGCAGAGGGACCAAGGGATGAGATAAGGTACATAAACAATTAAGCAGAGGCAGCAGCTCAGCAAACCATGACTTACTATAGTTGAAAGGAGGCCACATTTTAAATTCTGCTCAATAAGCAAGTGGTCAGATACTCACAGTACCCAGATAATATTGGTTAAATATATGCATTGCATTCATGACTGATTCACTTCTGATATGAAGCCTTTTCTGATCTGGTAAGAGATAAGTACTTAACACCAGAAGAAAGCATGCTGATAAGCTTGTCTCATTTGACTTTCTTAGCATTTGTACACGAACCTAATACTTTTCAAACATAAGAGTCTGACAACTATTCTGATTTTCAAGGAGAGAAGAGTCCGCAAGCAAAGGTTGAGCCTACCTCTAGTGAAGTGTGTGGATGCAATGATGAAAACATTCTAACAAAAACAATGGAGCAAGATCAAGTATAAATCAATGGATCCAAGTATGTCATATCTACGGCAATATATGGGCACAAAATGATGCCACACTATCCATCATGATTCTTATTAATAAATGCAAGCAAATCGCTGATGCCCTGATGGTAATACAGCTAATACTAGAGCAAAGACCTCCACAACATTCTATGGTTTTAACTTTTAAGATAATAATCTTCCTTCAGTAGATAAATCATAAGAAAACTGGTAGATATGGCATATAGGTTGAATTATCATAACAATAAGCTCCACTTCAAAGGAAGAGAAGAAAGAAAATTGGTAAGGAAAACCTGATACTTAAACCTTCTACAAAAAATAGTGTGTAACTCCAAGATTTTGATATTTATGCACTTTTATTATACGCTGTAGAAAACTCCAACTAAAGGCATATTGAATCATATACCTAGTCTAATCAACCGTACATACAGATTCTCAAAACAATCTAATGATTAGAAATTACTCCTTGGAACACTATACTAGTTTGATCTGATTCAAACATAAGTGAATCGAGAAGAAAGAGCTGTCCTTGCCTCCTTGGAGGCTTCCAAAACCAATGCAAACAATCACATATAGGCAATGACATCCAAATTCATCACATCAAAGTAGTAAGTGATGTTCTATTTTGAAGTGTATATCCCGATATGAGCAATACTAACAGTCTAGCACTGTCTATACCTGTACATTGCTAATTACATCTATGCATCATCATTAGTAAAGCTATAACGATTATATCAAATAAACAACGATTCGTGTCCCTTATACTTGCTTTGTTTTGACTCATTAGAGAGTTATAATCTCAAACAAGAGCATCAAACCAAAACCAAAAACAAAGAAACCAAAAATCAATAATTAAACAAACCTTTCTTAAGGCCAGGACGAGAATCTACACCCTTGAAAACAACGGGCAAATCAACTTCTAACTTCGATCCTTCTTCCGCCCACACAAACACCATATTCATCACCTTCCCTGTCTCCTCATTTCTCGCTAGCTGCTCAATCACACACCCAATAAAAAAAACACCCACATTTTAAAATGAACAAAATTCAACACTAATTACAATTAATTTACACCAAATTCACCATTAAATCATATTAACAGAAAATGAGAAATGACCTTAATGGGGAGGACATTTCCAGAATGAAGAAGAACCGAAGACCCGGACCCGGCCCGAACTTGAAGCTTGAAAGTGGTGGAGCAGAAGAAGGTAGGATCCAACTTAGTAAGAATGGAATCAATCTGCTTAGTTTCAGTGGTAAGAAGCTGCTTTGAGGTGTTTTCTGCGGTGGGGGAGAAGACGACGGCGGGGATCCGACCCTGAGCTCTGTCACGGGCCGAAATTCGGGGGCCCGAAATCTCTCTTGGTATGGCTTGTATTGTATGGAACTTTCTGTAATACTCCGCCGCCTTTCTCAGCCGTTCGCCGCCGATGCGCCACCATTGTTGCTGCATTTTCCTCGATTTTCGAGTGATATTAGGGTTTAACAAGGGTTTTCTTTTTTCTTTTTTAATTTTGTTTTTTTGGTTAGTGAGTGTCTGATTGATCACTGATTCAGCTTGATCAGGTGAGTAGATTGGGCTTTTGTTTTGGGCTTGCTTTTGTAAAAGGTTGAAGTGGGCCTTCTTTGTGTTTCCCTTTTAAAAAAAAATTGGTCCATTTTTAAATATGGATACGTGGAATAGTAAGTTTTTCCCTTCTATTTTTTTCTTTTTCTTTTTAGAGGACTTATTGACAGGTGAATTTTTATAACACCTATAAGTTATGTGCAACGATTTGATATAAAGCAGAAAGGAAAAATGTCCACATAACCTGTAAGTCTGTAACGGAGCTAGTACTACACTAGAAAACTTGATATAAGGTACTCTGTGTTGAGCACTAGTAATGCATTCGAATGGATTATTTCATGATCTTTTGTACTTAGCCTTGTCTTACCTTGTTCATACCTTTCTCAAGTACATAGATTACGAGCCCCGAGTGTCAAAACCCGAACTTCGTTATGTGAGAGGAGTTAAACTCCGGCTGTGGGTGTTTGTGTGAGCTGCGGGCGCAGGTGTGGGCTGCGGGCAGGCAGTAGCAAACACCTGTTGTGGCAGTCGCAGGTCAGACCCGCGGGTTAGAGGCTGCGGGCGCGGGTTCGGGGCTGCGACCGCGGGATTTGTCGAGTGTGAGGCGGTTTGTGAAGTGTGGGTTCTTTGATTTTTTCTTTCTTTCTTTAATACCAACGATTCTTTTTATTTTCTTTTGATTCCTTTGGGCCCACATGAAGATTTATATACTTCATGTTTATATAAGTCAGACTTGATGTTTTTCATTCGTTGTTGATATATATATATATATATATACGATCGTCCATTATTATTTTATTTTTTATCAATTAATTTTGGAGTCAAAAATAAAATAAGGAAAACCCTAAACACAAACCTACCCTTTGAGATCTGAATAGTTCTTGAGCAATTCCAACCTTCAAGTTTGGGTACACGAATTGCGAAGGTCGTAGTGTAAAACTTGGGGGGTGTGCGTCACTAGGAAATCTGTACCGGTGGTGGCGTATTTCGCTTCTAAGGCAGTGGGTTCCAAACCAGAAGGAGGTCGGATCTTGATTGATTGTAACACATTGCTTGTTTTTGTTCTTGATTTCAACAGGTATTTTTCCTACAATTTAGAAGCGAAATATTTATTATTAGATCTGTTGATATCATGAATAGCAATTCTCAATCTCGTTTATACCTAGATCTATCTAAGGTTGAGTCTCTTGATGGAATTAATTATAAGAGATGGTCACAAAGAATGTTGATCGCTTTTGAACAAGTAGAAGTTGATTATGTCTTGTTTAATGATGCCCCAAAACCTATCACTCAGACCAATGCTATGATTGATATTCCTAGTACCCCTGTCGCTGGGAATAAAGAATCTGTCCCTATTCAGACTACTTCCTCTGTTATTTTGCTAATAAATCTGAAATCAAGAAATTTAAACGTGATAACAAGTTTGTTAGCGGTCATCTTCTGAACCACATGAAAAATACATCTTTGATTTGTATATTAAAGTCAAATCTGCCAAGGAGATTTGGGTGTCTTTGGAAAAGAAATATGGGGCTGATGATGCCGAGAAAAAGAAATATGTGACTGGAAACTGGTTGAATTTTAAGTTGGTTGATACGAAACCTATCATGGAACGAGTCCACGTGTATGAAAATTATGTTGCTGAAATTCTTGCTCAAGGTATGAAGATGTGTAAGATCCTGCAGGCTAATGTGTTAATTGAGAAATTACCTGAATCTTGGTCTGATTATAGAAATCACCTCAAGCATAAGAAAAGAGATCTAACTCTCGAAGAGTTGGTGAGTCATATGAAAATTGAAGAGGCAAATCGCCTTAAGGATTCTACCCCCAAGCCGAAAAATGAATTGGCTGTGAAAGCAAATCTGGTAGAACTCAATTCTGACAATGAAAGGAAACCTGAAAATCGTGATGGAAAGGGAAAATCTGGAATCTACAATGGTAAACTTAAGCCTAGAAGAAAGATTGACAAATCCAAGACCAAATGTTGGAACTGTGACAAATTGGGGCACTTTGTTGTGAACTGCAAGGTTAAAGGCAAGATGGATCAGAAAAATAATGGTGGGAAGAAAGGAAAATTTAAGAATTAAGCTCATCTGGAATCTACAATGATGTTATTGCTGCGGTAGTATCTGAGGTCAACTTGGTAGAAAATAACTCAGAGTGAATTGTTGACACAGGAGCCTCCAAACACTTTTGTGCCAACAAGGATCTGTTCGCTACTATGGAGGAAGCCAAGGAAGGTGAACAAGTGTACATGGGGAACTCTAGCAGCTCTGAGGTGCTAGGGAGAGGAAAGGTGATACTTAAGCTGACTTCAGGCAAGACTCTGGCCCTACACAATGTACTGTATGTTCCTTCTCTTCGCAGGAACCTTATTTCTGGTGCTTTGCTTAACAAAGTAGGAGTTAAGTTAGTCTTTGATGCTAATAAACTTGTACTAACCCGCAATGGGGAATATATTGGTAAAGGGTACCTAAGTGGGGGTCTTTTTGTCCTTGAAATTGTAACCGAATCTTCTATTAATAAAAATTCTACTTCTGCTTATATTACTTTGATTTGTGGCATGCTAGATTGGGTCATATTGGTGCTGCCAAACTGAAACGTATGAAACGTTTAAATTTGCTCCCAAATATGTCATTAGATGGACTAGAAAAATGTGAAGTATGTGTAAAGTCTAAGTTTGTGAAGAAACCTTACAAGTCTGTCACAAAAAAGGGAAACTGCATTGCTAGAGCTAATTCACTATGATTTAGCTGACTTTAAGAACTTGGAAAGCAGGGGTGGCAAAAGATACTATGTTACTTTCGTTGATGATCACTCTAGATACTGCAGAGTTTATCTTTTGAGGTCAAAAGATGAAGCTGAATCCAAGTTTCTTGTGTATAAGGCAGAAGTTGAAAAACAACTGGATCGAAAAATTAAAAGGGTTCGATCTGACAGAGGAGGAGAGTACGGCTCAAATTTCCTCAAGGGGGTGTGTGAAACTGAGGGCATTATTCATGAGGTCTGAGCTCCGTACACACCACAACAGAATGGGATCGCAGAGAGGAAAAATAGGACTCTGAAGGAGATGATGAATGTTATGCTCTTGAGTTTCGGGTTGCCAGAAAATATGTGGGGAGAAGCTGTACTATCAGTAAATTTTGTTTTAAATAGAGTTACCCACAAAAGGTTAGACAAGACTCCATACGAGTTGTGGAAAGGTTACTCCCCAAATCTGAGTTACTTGAAAGTGTGGGGGTGTTTAGCAAAGGTGGGATATCCTTCCTTCAAACGGTCGACAATAGGTTTGAGAACGTTTGATACAGTGTTCATTGGATATGCTGAGAACAGTGCTGCTTACAGGTTCATGAGCCTAGGAGACAATGTCATAAACAAGTCCCAAGATGCAGAGTTCTTTGAACAGGTGTTTCCTTTGAAGAAAAATGATGCTACTAACAATGTTTCTTCAAATTCCTTTGTCTACGGAGCAGGTTGAAACTTGTCCAAGGACTGAAGAATTAACTCAACCTAGGAGAAGTAAAAGACAGAGAACAGAAGCAACTTTTGGCCCTGATTTCCTTGCGGCGTTCCTAACTGAAATGGAAGGTGAGGATGGTCTAGATGAGGTCATGGTTTGTCTTCATTTTGTAGATGAAGATCCCAAAACGTTCGAAGAAGCTATGAACTCGGTTGATGCAAGCCTTTGGAAGGAAGCAGTTGATAGTGAGCTTGAGTCCATCATACAGAATGGGACTTGGGAACTTGTTGACTTACCAAAGGGAAGCAGACCTATAGGGTGCAAGTGGATTTTCAAGAAGAAAATAAGGACAGATGGTACTGTAGAAAGGTTCAAGGCCAGATTGGTTATTAGAGGGTTCACTCAAAAATACGACATTGATTATTTCTACACTTATTCTCCGGTGACTAAGATTGCTACTATTCGTACTTTATTTTCCTTAGCATCATCATTTAATTTGTTTGTGCATCAGATGGATGTCAAGACAACTTTCTTGAATGGTGATTTGGAAGAGGAAATTTATATGGAGCAACCTCCTGGGTTCGTAGTTCCTGGAAAGGAGAATAAGGTATGTAGGCTCAAGAAGTCCTTGTATGGACTAAAGCAGGCACCAAAGCAATGGTATGAAAAATTTCATAGTACCATTCTTAGTTTCGGTTTTGTTGTCAATGGTAGTGATGCATGCTTTTACTCTAAAATTTTTGGTAATCATTGTGTGATCATTTGCCTGTATGTGGATGACATGTTGTTATTTAGTACTGATTTAAGTGCTATAAGTGAAACTAAGAAATTGCTTTCCTCTAAGTTTGAGATGAAAGATTTGGGAGAAGTAGATGTGATTCTTGGTGTTAAGGTTTTAAAGACCAAGAAGGGTTATTTTCTGAATCAGTCTCATTATGTTGAGAAAGTGTTGAAAAAATTTGATTTCTTTGATGTTGTGTCTTTGAAAACTCCCTATGACAGCAGTATAGCTCTAGAGAAAAATCAGGGAAAGACTGTTTCTCAAGAAGAGTATGCTAAGGTAATAGGGAGCTTGATGTTCTTGATGAATTGCACTCGCCCAGACATTGCATTTGTTGTAAGCAGGCTTAGCAGGTACACTCATTTCCCAAGTGACTCTCATTGGGTAGCTTTGAGACGTGTTCTGAGATATCTTCGTGGAACCATGAATTGGGGTTTAGACTTTGTTGGTCGTCCTTTGGTTCTAGAAGGGTATTATGATGCTAATTGGGTTAGTTCCAGTGATGAAGTGAACTCTACTAGTGGGTATGTTTTTACTCTTTGTGGTAGTGCTATATCATGGAAGTCTACGAAACAGTCATGTATTGACAGGTCTACAATGGAAGCAGAGTTCATAGCTTTGAATCTTGCTACCCAAGAAGCGGACTGGTTGAGAAACTTATTGGCTGACATCCCTTTGTGGGGGAAACCATCACCACCGGTCTCTATGCATTGTGATTCACAGACTGCTATTTGTGTT